ACTAAAATGTCATCACTTTACTAAAATGTCCTCACTTCACCAAAATGTCATCACTTCACTAAAATGTCATCACTTCACTAAAATGTCATCACTTCACTAAAATGTCATCACTTTACTAAAATGTCATCACTTTACTAAAATGTCCTCACTTCACCAAAATGTCATCACTTCACTAGAATGTCATCACTTCACTAAAATGTCATCACTTCACTAAAATGTCATCACTTCACCAAAATGTCCTCACTTTACTAAAATGTCCTCACTTCACCAAAATGTCATCACTTTACTAAAATGTCCTCACTTCACCAAAATGTCATCACTTCACTAGAATGTCATCACTTCACTAAAATGTCATCACTTCACTAAAATGTCATCACTTCACTAAAATGTCATCACTTTACTAAAATGTCATCACTTCACTAAAATGTCATCACTTCACTAAAATGTCATCACTTTACTAAAATGTCATCACTTCACCAAAATGTCATCACTTCACTAAAATGTCATCACTTCACTAAAATGTCCTCACTTTACTAAAGTGTCATCACTTCACTAAAATGTCATCACTTCACTAAAATGTCATCACTTCACTAAAATGTCATCACTTTACTAGAATGTCATCACTTTACTAAAATGTCATCACTTTACTAAAATGTCATCACTTTACTAAAGTGTCATCACTTCACTAAAATGTCATCACTTTACTAAAATGTCCTCATTTCACTAACTTGGACTCATGGTTTTGGTATAAAGGGCATATGTTTGACAGGTAGTTTTGTTGAAAATCACTGTGTACTCTAAATCTCTCTTGATTAGCCTCTAACACACAGGTGCTCCAATCACCAACCAGTGACACACATGCACCCAAGCACACAGGTGTTTATATGAGCTCATTAGTGCAGCTGATAAACACACAGAGGCACTGAGAGACACACACACACATGACTTGGAGATATTCAGTCAATTCATTCACATTATGATTCTGTCTCCTCTCCCCCTCTCTCACCCACCCAGCCCCACCCTTTCAAAATAAAAGACCCACCCTTTCAAAATAAAAGCCCCACAGAGTGAATTCTAACTGGAATGCTTGTGACGAAGCCGTCATTTAATAACCTCTGTGTATGTGTGTCAAACATTATGATTATGTCTCCTCTCCCGCTCTCTCACACACCCAGTCCCACCCTTTCAAAATAAAAGCCCCAAAGAGTAACTGTATCTTAACATGAAACTCAGATTATGGGAGCGTTTGCTACCATCATTTTCAAAGGCTTCTCAAACAAAGGTATCTCAAATACAGAAATGACGGGAGACATTTGTGGACTGTCCAACACGAATACAAGATTCAATCCAAGAGTATGAATCTAAAATGCAGAAAAGAGAGAAGCGATATCTCAATTTAACCTCAACGATACTACCGGCAATATTGCCGTGTATATATATTGCGACGTCTTCGGGCAGTAGAAGCCACACTGTCAAAATTGAATGCGAAATTTTCTAGTTGTGTTATAAAGCTTCATGCAGTGTTTTGTCTGAATTAAACTTCTTGGTTTCCATTTGATTATTCCATAATGTCCCAGGACTCTCTCTCTGTCTTTCTCTCTGTTCTCTGTACTGTTTATCCTTTCCCTCACCCATCTCTCTGTTTTCTCCCTTCTCTCAACACACACACACAAACATCGACCCTTCAAACACTAACCCACATGACACACACACACACACACACCTGTCTTCCTGTCTATTGAACAGGAAGTTGAAGCTGGAGAGCGAGTTGGCCGCTCAGCTGTGGAGAGTTTCATGGGACGACGTCCAGATGAGCAACCTGGATAAAGTCCTGAGGAGAGCCTGCAGCAGACTCACGATGTCACTGGTAACACTCACACACATACACACACACACACACACTCACACTCACGCACACACACACACACACACGCACACACACACACACAGACCAAATCCTCCCCAGTGTGGCTGCAGCCTCGAGGCCTCTCTACCACTGAATATGAGTCAGAACGCTGTCAAATCTACACTGTAAAAAGACATATTTTGGGATGTCGTTTTCTCTGTTGGAAACTTAACACAAGCCAAGAAAACAAGCCTCACAGCTACCAGAGCTGAGAGAAGTGCTCTGTGGTTCTTCCTCGTACCAACTACATTACTGGATGAAGGAAGAAGAGAGACAGAGAACATCAGTAACAACTGCAGGTGTTTTTCACACTATAAACCTCAGAACCCACCAGATGGATCGTCAGGGTCCTGGATCGAAGTAGATTACAAATGAAGAACAACTCAACAGACTACATAAGAGACAAAGAGAACTGGACAGGGCTATTTCTCTGGAGGAAAGGCCTCTCATCATCCATATCAAAGGACTACCACAAACTCAATACTCAAAGTATAAATCAAGTGGGTATCAGAGAAAAATATTTACAAAAAATTCTAATGGTAGCAAGCAAGAAGGCAATTACAAGACGCTAACTTCCTAAAGAGCTTCCCACCCTGAGCCAATGGAGCGATATTGTAATAATGAAAATGGGCCATTCTTGGAGCAACAACTTCGTTTGACATCATCCAATGTAACCGAGTGACCTTGTGTTTGTTGCATTTATTAATCAGAGAGAAATACAAAACACTCACACATTAACACACTCACTTTAAATGGTTTCTAGTAACTTCTGACTGGACTAATTAGTTAATCTTGATTCTCTGCAGAAAGGATCTAACTGCGGCTCTCTGATTACTATGGAGGGGAACTTCCAGATCTACACCAAAACTGGATACTACAAGGTCTGACACCACCTTATACCACCAGACACTCTCTTCTGACAGATAACAACCTGTAATGGAGAATAACATGATGGTGGAATGATCACACTGATTTTGTCTCCTGCAGGGAAACCTGGCAGCTATCAAGTATATCAACAAGAAACGGATCGAACTGACCAGGAAGGTCCTGTTTGAACTAAAACATGTAAGAACTCCATCTGCATACCTACCAACTGACCCACCAACAGACCTTCCAACTGACCTACCGACAGACAGACGAACCTACCTGCCTAACTACTAACTTACATTACATTACAGTCATTTATTGAGCAGACGCTTTTATCCAAAGCGACTTACAATTCAGATTCTATCCATACACCGTAGGCTACGGGAGCAATTTTGGGGTTAAGTGTCTTGCTCAAGGACACCTCTACATCCAACTAGCGGAGCTGGGGATCGAACCACCGACTGATTGAAGGACGGCCCAGCTCTCCACTTAGCAGTTGCTACAGTTGCCCCCCACTAACTGACCTTCTGACCAGCCTCTGGGCCGACCTAAGCAGTTAAGGACTTCAGTCCCTTGCTTGTGTAGCATGTTAATGGTTCTGATGGGATTTGAACCTGCTGCCTTTGTGCTCTTACAGATGCGAGATGTTCAGAATGAGCACCTGACACGCTTCATTGGCGCCTGCATTGATCCACCAAACAAATGCATCATCACAGAGTATTGTCCCAGAGGCAGCCTACAGGTACAATACACCTAACTCTTTACCCCTCGAACAACCCGTCGACGAACCCGTCTACCAACAATTTATACCCTTTATACCCTCTGTCAGCCCTTTATTCCTCGTTATACCCCATGTCAGCCGTTTATTCCTCGTTGTACCCCTTTGACAGCCATTTATTCCTCGTTATACCCCTCTGTCAGCCCTTTATTCCTTGTTATACCCCTCTGTCAACCCTTTATTCCTCATTTTACCCCTTTGACAGCCCTTTATTCCTCGTTATACCCCTCTGTCA